AGCCCGGTGAGGCCAGGGCTCAGGATGAGGCCGAGCCTTCCCTGGAGGCTGTCTCGTGGTCCGATGGGGCACGTACGTTGCTCCCCCTCGTCCAACAACTCCTTTCGGAGGGGATGCCGGAATTGTATGAATTGCTAGGACGGTTAGATTGTTTAGGCGCTGCCTCTTCAATACGCCGTGTTCGCGACCAAGGTGCATATACCATGTTGCACGACACCTTCCACAACCCGGTGGGAGGTGGGACGGCGGAGCTCGCCGTGGGCAACTGGGTCCTGGGCTTTCTGCGGAGTCTTGCTCGAGCCCACCGTGGCAACGCACTGGACGGGCCGCAACGATGATGCGGCCGGCTCCTTTATAGAGAGCTGGGTGGTTACGCTACGGCAGGCCTCTGACCCCACAAGCCGGAACCTGCTCGAGGAGTTTGTTCGACTGGGCGAGCTGGCCCATCGCTTGATCAAGCCACTGTGCCAAGTGAAGCAGGTTTACGACTTGCTTGATTGGAGGAAAGGCCGAAGGTACTGTCTCAGCCTTCTAGACCAGTTGGCCGGGCCCCTCTTTGCGCCCGAAGCTGCCGGGGACAGCGCGGGCCCTGCTAGCTCTGACGCCACCCCTGCCGTGGCGCGCTTCGCGCCCGGCAAGGAAGAAGACGTGCAGGGCCACTGGGGCACCAAAGAAGAAGGCGAGCCGCTTGAAGTTCTTGCAAAGACGGCTCGCGCTCTGGGGGAGGTAGCGGCAGAAGCTCCGGAAGCCGTCGCAGTAGCGGTCACCCCAGGCACTTTAGAGGCGGAGTTGGGAGTGGAGGAACCCGACTGGTCAGGAGACGAATCCCCTGATATCCCCGTCGCCATCGCAAAAACAGAGGAGGACGAAGAGATGCCCGCTGCCGAGGAAGCAGCTGGCTCGGCAGCACCCAGGCGGCCTAAAAGGGTTGTTTTGGCCACAGGCCAATTGGCCCTCCTGCGGGCTCTTGCTGCCGCCAACGCCAGCAACTGGGCAGACATCCAGCGGACCCTCAAGGAGACCCCTGGTGAAGCTGAAGACAAGGAAGACCTTGTCAACAACCTCTCCGACCTCGCTGCCACTTACGCGAAGAACCGGGCAGAGTGTTCAAGAGCCGCTGCGCTCAAGGCGGAGAAGCTCGCGGACCTTGAAGGGGAGGAGGCTGAATACTTGGCTGCGCTTCCCCCTCACCTCTTGGAGTTGGAACGCAAGAACCCGGTCAGGCCGAGCCTCTCCACGCACCTGGGTTGGGTCGAGCATGAGCGCTTCAAGAGAGATGCCGAGGTTGCGGGCGTGTGGATGGCTCGACGCCGCGAAAAGTCTAGGCTGCGTGCAGCCAAGCACAGGGCGAGCCAACAAGCTGAAACAGCGGGGAACACCGCCCAGGACCCAGTGTCGGACCGGGCAGACGCCGGCGCCCACCTGAGCTTCCAACTGGGGGAGGCGGCACGAGAGTCGCTGCGCGAGTTCAGGGCCGAACTAAGGGCGGGGGCACTCGACATGCCGTTTCGCGCTGGAGACGTTCCCAAGCGAAAACCAGAGTCCTCACGACGTAGGAAACTGAAGTGGCAGCGCTTCAGCAAAAAGGTCAAGTCTAAGTACGACCCCCGCGAGTCGGAACAGAACCACCCTTACGCCCACTTGGGCGTTCCAGCCTGCGAGTCGAGCTTTGGCTGTGGGTCAACCCCGCCGTGGCTCGTTTCGAGCCCGGCGAAGTATGACCCCACAGACACCGACCGCAACCACCCCTTTGCACAGGCCACCTGCCGGCCTGAGGAAGCTCCGGCCGGCCTCGAATGGGAAAGAGGCTTCCACTGGGGAGCCCTGTGCGCCTTGCTTGCAGGGGTATTGCTATGGGCTGTGACTTGGTGCTGCCGCAGAGCATGCTGTCGCAGTGAAGAGGCCGCAGCAAATAGAGAGACTCCGCCTCGACCCCGGGTAGGAACTACAGCTTCCGCAGCGCCGAAGCCACCGCCCACTATGCCACCTTGGGTGGCCTCAGGGCCTAGGCAACCATTACCCCCTCCTCCCGCACCGCCTGAAACAGTCCTCGTTACTACTACGCGGGGAAGGGCTTACCATCGGAGAGGATGCATACATGTTCGTGGGCACGAAACGAGGACTTTTCGTCCATGTTTAGTGTGCCAACCCCACGTGATGCTGCAAGAAGAAGACACCCGGGTGAGACTTCAAGCCCCAGATCACGACGATGCTCGGCGTGACACCAATCACGCCATTGCTCACCTCTCGTGGTGGCTGGTAGTGCTTTTGGTGGGAGGAATGAGCTTGGGCTGCCTCACCTTCAGCCGTTGGTTGTTGCCGTGGCGCGCTTCGCGCCCGGCACACGACCCACTGTACTTGAGAGCAGGCAGCCTGGAAAGACGTGTACGATTTAGCCTGTCACCTGACAGCGACTCAGAGGCAGAAGAAAGAAGGGCACCGATGCCTGAAGGCATCGACACCAACAGCAGCCTCACGACTCGTCACCACCGCAAGAGGGGCCGCCACCCTCTGGTAGCCTCCCAAGGAAGTTCCCCTCGAGCCGCCAAGCGGGCCTACCCAGACAACGGTCCACAAGCCGGGGTACTCCCTGCGAATGCGTGGGCAAGGGAAAGCCTGAAGCTCGTTCGGGATCACCTCTCCCCGGCGACTCAACGACTGTACGATAGCCACTGGAGATGGTGGGAACTCTTCACCCGAAGGAGAGGTGTCTCTGCTCTTCGCACCGTGGATCGTTTCGATCCCGGTGAAGAAGCGCTTTTCCTCGATTATGTGGTGTATCTGTTTGTGGGACAGGGCCTTGCGGCCTCCACAGCACAGGCCCGACTGGGAGCGATCCGCAGTGTCCACCTGCAGCTTGGTTTCCCGGACCCGCTCAAACCGCTCCCGCGGCTTCTTCTCGCTCTTGAAGGAATCCGCAGAAGGAGAGGACCGGTCACGAAACGCAGGCCGGTCACCCCATGCATGTTGGCGCGAGCCAACAGTGCCCTTCCTCTTGACTTGTGGGGACGAGGCCTTTCCTGCGCGCTGCAGCTGGGGTTCTTCTTTCTGCTGCGAGTTTCTGAGATCGTGGGAGGGTCAAACCCACGACTGGGACTCCGGGTCAAAGACGTGGCGCTCTTCCGTGGAGGAAAGCAGCTGCGCCACCCGTCTTTCGAGCAGGCGGACGAGGTGCAGATAGTGGTGAGAGCCTCCAAGACTGACCCGGAAGGAGAGACCGCCACAAGGAACCTGTACCGGAGCGGTGCAGAGGTGTGCCCAGTGCTCGCCACAGCCAGGTACATGGCTTTGCTGTGGAAGGAGTTTGGCCAACCAGCGCCAACCTCCAAGTTTTTCCCGCACTTGTCAAGGCAGGACATACAAGAAGTCCTGCAGACAGTGGCGGCGTCACTTGGAGAAGAGCCGCAAGCCTACACTCCTCACTCTCTCCGGTTTGGAGGAGCCTCAGCCATGTGGGCAGGGGGGTTCGACTCCTACGTCCTGAGAGCGTGGGGTCGCTGGAACTCCGATGCCTTTTTGGCTTATCTCTGGACGTCTCGAAAGGCGTCGGCAAACACAGCGGCCCGGATGGCCGCGGCGGACATGACCCCAGTCAGGGGCTTCCCCAGCGCCTGAGCGCCTCGAGGTTCCCAGTTTCCCCCCTCACTTGTGTCCTTGTCGTGTCACGTTTCGTGACCGACAACCCCAGTTCGGTGGAGGGACTGTTTAGAAGGGGGCGGGGTGCACCGCTGGTGCAAAAAGGGAACAGAGGTTTTTTCGCTCCGCGCACAAAAAAGAAGTGTCCGAGCCTGCTGGTGAGTGAAACGTGGTAGCCTAGCTCTGCGTGCGTAGTGTTTCACTGCCGTAGGCTCTAGGCTCAAGGGTGACCCGCCCACCCACCCCCTGCACCGCTGGTGCAAAAAGGGAACAGAGGTTTTTTCGCTCCGCGCGCAAAAAAGAAGTGTCCGAGCCTGCTGGTGAGTGAAACATTACATTACATTACATTACATTAATACACACATACACACATACATACATACATACATACATACATACATTCACACATATACGAACGCGGTAAAAGCCCAAGCAATCGGCATGTGCGCGGCGCGCGTTTACGTCACGTCAGAGCCAATAACTCTAAAGATGTCCATGCTAACAAATAGCTTCTGCCAGCCAGGGAGGGTGGGTGGGGCACGGATGCAAGTTCAAAATGCACAGCATGCACTAGACAGCCCCGATGACAGAAAGGAGAGGTGTTCCTCCGTACCCCAAGAAAAGGGAGAGAAAGCAGCCGAGCGACGCAAGATCACAGGGGTGTGGAGGCGGGAGGGTGGGCATGAGAGTGTGTGTGTGTGTGCGTGCGTGCGTGCGCGCGCGTGTGCGGCGCGCCGTGTGCGGCGCGCTTATGTGTATGCGGGCGTGTATGCAAAGGTCGTTTCTTGTTTTGCGCTTGGGATGTCTAAGGACTGTGGTTTCATGATGGCGTTCCAGCCTCTGGCACGCTTCTTGACTCGATTTGAGGTCCTTAATGCTTGCGTTTGCAAATTCGTCATGATTTTCCGATCAAAGACACTCTGCAACCTTCTCGTCCAGCCTTGCGACCGAGGACGGAAGGCATAGGAGTAATAGGAGGCCACGGCAAGCATGGACACAGCGTCTTTCACGTAGATTCCTTCCTAGAAGATACGTCATAAGGACAACTTTCACACAACAGCTGACTCCCTTAAACTGGACGCACATGGGCCCAGACAGGCCCGCGGATGCACGCATTCTTCACCAACACTGCCACAGATGCACTTCGCATCCAAGGTCAAGTGGCCCGTGTGCCTTGTTTCATGAGCCGCTGCTGCCAATCAGTGTCGGTCTTTCTGTTTTTGATTAGGGAAGTAGGGAATTGGCTTGTGGACTGCTTACTCACAAAGATGACATCCGGCTGGTAGGTGCGTAGGCTTTTCCTAGACCTTCAGTTGCCTTGAGGATGCTGTTCCCTTGATCAACAAACAGATGCCAGGAGCTCTATGATGCAGTGCCCGATGATCTCCGTTGCTTTCGACAAGTACGACAAGGAGCCAGACGGCTTTAATCTTAACATCCTTATCCTACAGTCCCCGGTGCCCGAAGCAAGTCTTGGATCCACAGACCGCAACATCTCAAGAGAGTCTCAGAAAGAACGAATTTTCGCTTTCCGAGTTGGTGCAGAACTAATGATCCGTTTGGGCATTCATGCTTGCTTCCTTGTTTTGGAAGGTGCTGATTCTCACCGCGAATGATGACACGCTGAAGCCGCAGAAGGAGACAGCTTGCTCGTCAGTGCACACATGATGCCCCAAAGCCCAACTCGTTGACTTCTCTGCAGGAGACGCTTTTGACCAGCTGTGGTTTCGACGTTGACGATTCCCGCTTCATGATCAAGGGCTGCCAGTCTCCCGGTTGAAGTTACCGTCTTTATTGTGTTGCTGCTGTGCTCTTACCCAACACCGACACACACCAACACAGCAGGGAAGTGTGCTGCTCCGCTTTTCTTTCTGAATGTGTTTTTCTTGTTCAGACTTAAGCTCGCTGCCTGTGTAGCCACCGGTTGTCATTGAGTTCTCTCTGGGCATCGACAATGCTGGAGGTTGTCACTCCATTTTCAGGTTTTGCGGGCAGTGGTAATCTTCAGAGCCGTGGGCTGGCAGATGCGACAACCTTGGACATACCGTGTGTTATGGGCCTCCCCACGGCGCCCGATGATCAGAGCACCTGTGTGGACATGTCTTCGTGGTACCGCACCAGCAAGTAGCAACTAATGGAGATGTTGCTCCCAGTATGTTATCCTTGAAAGTCTTACCAACATCATTGCCAGTTACCACAGGAAGCGGCCCTGCAAACACGTTTCTCTGCTCAATCCCCCAAGACAAGAGTTCATTCCCTAAAAGACTGTGAAAAACCGACCGACGCCGGCCTACCTGACTGATTTGCCATCCGACCGGCGCGGGCCTTCGCCATCCGACAGTCTCTTCCATTTCTTGCTGCGCAACTTTCTGACCACATAAATCCTCTACGGGCTGTCCTTGCTTCTCTCTGACTCTCTTGGTCCATCATTCTGACGTGGCCTTGTCCCATCTTTTGTTTTGTGTGCCCGGACTATGCCGCCTTCAACCCATATCGCAGATGTTGCACATGTGCAGGGATGTTCCTGGCTTCGACGCGGTTGCAAAAGGTGAGAAGGCCAGCTGCATTCACCTGGAAGGGATGTGCCCCCGCTTTTGGGGAGACCGTTTGCCATTCCATCCGTGTGTGGCTTCAGTCTTGAGGAGGATGCGGATTGTAGAGAGCATGACATAGAGAGTGCCTGCAGGTCGACGTCGACTACGTGCAGCCGGGCATTGTCTATATGGTCTGGGACTTGGCAAAGAGCAACATGCGTCAAAGCATCCAGCTCGCAAAAATTGAGAGACAACAGGAAGCAGTGAAGAGTCGATGTCGCCTTGCTTCTCCAAAGGTCAAGCAGATCCTCAAGAAGAACGCATCGATCCGTGCCATTCTGCTCGAGTGCACAGAGCGCTTTGGCCGTGGTAGCCAGAGTTTGCCGACCTTTGAGGTGTTTTTTCAGTGTTATGTTGTGTCTGATTTCAATTAACCTGCAAACGAAACAAAGAACGAAAGCATGAACGCACGACGAAAGAGGAGGAGGAAGGAAGAAAGGGCGAACGAAAGAGCGTGATGCAGAAACGAACGCAAGAAAGACGTGGCAAAAATCATGAAGAAAGGCGGAAATAAAGAAGCTAACGAACGAAAAGCCGAGAGCCGCCAGTTAGGTAAAGCGATTAGCCGCCATCGCATCATTGAGGGGTAGCAGGTAGCTTTTACAGCTTTAGAATGTGCTTTATGTGTATGTATGTATATATATATATATATCTCTCTCTCTCTCTCTCTCTCTCTCTTTCTGTCTATCTAAGTATCCACCGGCCTACTTGTACCTATCTACCTGTCTACCTATCTATCTATCCATCCATCCATCCGCCCATCCATCCCTCCATCCATCCGTCCATGCATCCATGCATCCATCCATCCATCCGTCCGTCCATCCATCAATCCATCCATGCATCCATGCATCCATCTGTCCAGCCATCCATGCATGCATCCATGCGTCCATCCATGCATCCATCCATGCATGCCTGCATGCATACATACATATATGTACATAAATAAACAAATAGATAAATAAATAGAGATAAATAAATAATAAATAAATATAATAAACAAATAAATATAATAAATAAATAAATAAATATATATATATATATTATACATATTTCTGTATGTATGTATGTATGTATGTATGTATGTATGTATGTCAATTAAGGATCCCCTGCACTGTAAGGAGTATTCATTGCCCAAGGGGTCTTGCAGTTTGCCAGGATTTGCAGGTCAGAGAATCAGAAGAACGACAGCCATCGCAGAGCTTCACTCCAAGAATTGAGGAGTTGAGGACCCCAAACAGATGTAAAAACGCTTAGCCGGTAAACCCGGAAGCCTCAACCCGATGTCCCAAACCCTAAACCAACCATGCGTGTGTAGCTAAATGTTAAGGTTACTTGGGTCCTTTTGATAAGGGTGCGGCCTTATTAACTTATTTTTGGCTTCATATGTTGGGGGAAGTAACGGTCCGAATCCCTAAACCTTATACCGCACCCCCAAACCTAAACCCTAAGCCCTAAACCCTGAGCCTTAAGCCGTCAGCCTTGACTGAAGCCCTTGAAAGAAGGTGGACGTAAACGAGCCTTATAGTTCTGAGATAAGAACCGCTCCGAAAACCGTCAGACAAACCAGATAGAAACCTCCCGAAAACCCTGAGAAAAGCTCTAAACCCTAACCCTTAAACCCTAACCTCTCCGGGACCCAATTTTTTGGTGGATGTGCAGGTCTACTTACCCTAAAAGTACCCTGAAGCCTAACCCTCAAGCCCTTTTTTAAAACCTAACCTTCAATCCTTTCGGGGGAGGCGGCGGTCTACTAAACACCGAAGAAACCCTTAAGCCCTAAGCCCGAAACCCTAAACCCTTAACCCTAAATCAAACCCTAAACCTTAATCTGACTCTTTTCGGGGCAGTTGGAGGTCTTCTAAAGACCTTGAACCCGATATTAAACCCTTAAACCCTAAACCGTTTCGTGGCAGGTCCAAAGAAACCCGAAACTCTTAAACCCCAAGCCCTAAGCCCTCAACCCCAAACCCTTTTAGCCCTTTCGGGGGCAGGTGGAGGTCTACTACTTCGACCGCGCGGCTTTTCAGGCCGCTGAGGCCAAGCGGCTTTTGGAGGACCACGACTGGGTACTTTTTCTGGAGGTTAAGGAGGTTGCTTTAAGTTACCATAATTTACGGTTCTTTTAAGGGTTCTACTACCCGTGCTGTGAAAGTGAGTGAGTAACCTCAGGACCAGAGTGGCCTTCAGCGCCTCTTCAAGCTGTTAGTGTATGCTTTGGTGTTTTGGAGCAACCTTTGTACAGTAGCATGGTCGGCATGAGTTTTCACGTTGCATGATTTGTTTTTGGAAGAGAGTTTCGTAGTGCTTTACAGTACATGGCTTATAGCAAGCTTTTCGTGTGCTGTGCGAACCTGCTCAAGGAAGCAGGGCAACCAGGAAGAGCTGTAAGCAAAGCAGCGACGCCAGAGAGACACGTTCTTTGAAGTCCGGAAAAGTTGCATTCACACCCAAGCTGGGGTTTCAAGTTTTTACATGGTAGCGGAGCACCGCTCCTACGCAGAGCCAAGGAAGAGTTTGCGTGTGTGTGTGTGTGTGCTGGGTGCAGTCGAGGGCCGTGAGAGAAGGCTAAGATGCAGCAGCAGCAGCAGAGTCCAGTGTCGCCTGGACACCTTGAGCAAGGCTTGCGTAGAAGTGCGCAGGCAGCTGGTGTAGGGAGCGGAAGTGATCCTTGGGCTGAACGCCTCCAGCAAAGGGCGCGAGTGATGCAGCAAGCTGCATCGACTGGACATGAGTGTCAGAGAAACGTCCCTGACAGTGACTTGTCGAGTTTGAGTTCACCTGCCAGGCCAGAGCAATGCAACATGCCTGTACATGGACCGCACATGCCCCAAATGTACTCCATAGGAACCCCCACTATGCCCTGTGTTGGATCAAACATGGATGTTTTGCGGCAAGTAAGTGTTTTGATAGGTAGAATGACTCCACAGCAAGCGCAGGCGGCACAAGGGATCCTGAATGAACAGCTAGGAAGGCAGGCGCGTGGAGTGCCTGAGCACTTCGGCCGGATGCCTCTGCATCCAGATGCTGCACATACGAATTTTGTCATCCCACCTTCAATAGACCAGGGTTTGAGTCAGAACTACCAGGGTAGTGAGGGTGTTGACGTTTTCTCAAGAGCTGACAAGTGGTTAGGCCAGCCCCCAAGTCCATCAGTGCAGAAGTGGACGTCTCGTGAGCTTGAGATTGCAGGGTTTCCAGACTACGTTGTAAGCCTACAAAGCTGGGCTGCCTTGGGCAGCATGACGTTTTCCCAAGAGATTTCTGTATCACTAAGGTGGCCAGATACGATTTGGCAACAAACTCTTACGAACGTGCAGAAAGTCCGATCGGTAAGGCTTTATGGCATACTTAGATCTGCTTTTGCGGAGCATGCTAGGGCAAGTCTCATGATTCAAGCTTTCAGTGAAGGACTCACGTTGGATGGAAGTCCTGTTCAAGACCCTGTTAGACTTTTAGGCAGCACGACATGTGGGTTTGAACTTTTGAGGCAGCTAGCACAACAGTTTTCTTTGCGTAGCAGAGCTGAAGCCCTGAGTATGAGGTCCGAGCTTTTACAGCGTATCTTTGCTCTAAAGAACTCAGAGATGAACCAGGCTACTGTAGTTGGTGATGTGATTAGGAAGATAGACATTGATGTAGCTAGGTACTCGAAGCTTTTAGGGACACTGCCTTCTCACCTTGACCGCCAGGGTTTGAGCATAGGAGATGGGGACATGCTTGTTATCTTGTTGAGAAGTTTACCAGAGGAAGCAAAGAAGTATGTTCTTCATCACTCTCCTTCAGATACGTATTTGGTTGCGAGAACGGCGGCTTTGAGATTTGAGCAACAGCAGCGCTTGTTTTTGGACTTGAACTTTGGGTCGCGCAAGACCATGATTGAGATTTTTGATTTGACACAATCAGATGGAGATGGTGCAACAGCATGGTATCATGATATGCCAGAATCTTCCATTGCGGCATTGAACAGAGATCGGTGTGAGAAGTGCGGAAGGAAGCATCGCACCCAGGATTGCTCTGTCGACATGACTAAGGTCAAGTGTTTTGCATGCCAAGGGTTTGGTCATATCAGTGCTAACTGTCCTGGTAACCGTAGTTCCTCAGGAGAAAAAGGAAAGGAGAAAAGGAAAGGAGAAAAGGAAAGGAGAAAGGAAAGGAGAAAGGAAAGGCGAAAGGCAAAGGAAAAGGAAAGGAGAAAGGAAAAGAAAAAGGAAAATGGAAAGGAAAGTCAAAAAAAGGAAAAATGTATGAGGTGTCTAGTTCCGGAGAGGAGGAGTCATGGTCGTGGGAGGAGACATGGCAGAATGAGGCTTGGGGGGTTCAGGACTGGGGAGAAGCATGGGCAGAGCAGGACTGGCAGGGTGAGTCCTCTGAGCAGCAGCAAGCAGGGTCTAAGCCAGACATGCTTCAGTTGAGCGCGTTACTGTTGAGCCCCTTGTTTGTGTCTAGCCCCCACAACGATGCAGAGTATTGGCTCTTGGACTCTGGTGCGAGTGTAACTGTTTTGAGTGAGAGCTGTGTGGCCTTTTACGGTGTAGAAGCATCGCAAAGAACACTTGGTGGTGATGGGTTTTCCTCCGCCAATGGCACTCCTGTGCGTATGTTTCAGTCAGAGCACATTGTAGTCAGTCTTTTGCTAGAGAGCGAAGCCGGCGAGACACAGTGGGTTGAGGCCGGCATGGAAGTTTTGGTAGGTGAGACTCGTCACAACATAATTTCCACAACGTCTTTGTGCTTGAAGGGTTGGCAGTTTTTGCAGACTCGCGAGGGCCTCAGCGTGAAAGCACCAAACGGGTGTTGCGCTAAAGAGGTGTCTTTGTTTGGGAATGTGCCTTGGATCAGGCTACACCCGTGTGGCCACAAACAGCCTGAGCAGACAAGTGGTGATTTTGAGGCGTGTGTTGGTACAGCGATGTCGGTTTTGTCACCTCTTACTTCTAAGACCACGGAAGCTGAGTTGGCAAAGCACCGCATGCAAGGTCACACACCTTATCATCCAGCTTGCAAGCATTGCCAGGTTTCCCATACAGTGTACCAGCATAGAAAGAAGGCTCGTGGTAGAATTGAGTCTGAGGTAGTTGCTGACTTTTTTCCTCTCCTCCACAGGAGAAGAGCGTGTAAGCGTTCGTCGAGACAACTTGCGGGTCTTGATCTTAGTTGAAAGGATGTCATCTATGGTTGGTGCCGTTTGGACAACTGAGAGTGTTATCCGGACCCGGCATGAGATCATCATGTGGTTGCGAGAGTTTGGGCTCGTCAGCGGCTCCACCTCCGTTTTGCTGATTACCGATTCCGAGTCTGCTGTGAGTGACCTTGTTGGCACTGCCGCCTCAGAGTTTACTTTTAGTGTCCGTAAACCTGGGCCACAGCAGCACGA